TTCGATGCTCTGTGGCACCTTTAATATTACCTAGAACAAAATCTACTGTTCCTGCAAGCAGTCTAATAGAAGTTACGCAGACTTCCAAGGAAGGCGCGCAGGGAATTTTGTCGGCTCTTCCCACCTGGGCTGGTCATTGTTTCTCCTCCTTTGAGCACACAGTAGATGGTACCTTCCTTCTGTCTTTGAGATTAAATGTGACTTGTGACTTGGGCCAACGAGATGCGAGCAAAAGCAGCAGGGACCACCTCTGGCGGAAGCTTTCCGAACCCATGCGTGATGCACTTGTGCCCTTTACCTGTCTCAGTGAAGCATGAGTCAAGAGACAGCTCCTACCAGCCTGGGTCCCTGGAGGAGCAGACCACAGGCTACGTTACATGAGTAGCACGAACAGAAGGCAAGCTTTGGTTTATACCTTTAGGATGTGGGGGTTGTTTGTCACTGCAGCATAAACTAGTCCCTCCTGACAGATACAATGGCCCTGTTCATGTGACCAATGGCAACCTCCAATTTCTGATTCAGCCTCACCTGGCTTTTAGATTTCCTCTCTGTTTTATTAAGCTCTCAGGGCCAAAAAGTGCACTTAAGCCACCCAATACAAAGCTTTCCCCTGGTTTATGGGTTAAGACTGACACCTGCTGCTATACAGCCCCCAGTAACCCAGTGAAACTCCAGTGCCGCCCGATTCAGATACCCTAGGCATGAAAACAGGTGCAATTTTCCTCAATGTCTGTGTCTAAACAAGAGGTTTTCTATTAAAGTGTCCATTTAGCTAGGTTGACCATACACTTGATCGTCCAAAGTGGTTTTGAGAGGGAAGGGGTCTGAGGCGATAGGCATAAACCATCACTCTCTGGGGTAAACAGGGACTCACAGGTGCCCTAATTGTACTTGTGTTTCCTTTGCAGTCTTCAGTCTAGGGCTGTGAGAAACATTCCTAGAGGCATTATCTAAAGATAGATCACCATTTCCAGAAAATGCGATTAAGGGCCTAAGACCAAGCATGTGGTGAAATCGACATGTTTATCAAGAGAGTTCACTCTGCTTTTACTATTCTGTGTGGCATTGCGCTGAAGGAATGCAGCTGTCCCCCTAAGCAGGCACATGTAACAGCAGTAGACAGCCAAACAAAACCCAGAGCCCAGTGCAAAACCCAGCTGCGAAGTACGAACACCCTGCAGGAACACTAACAGCATCTCCCGTCTTCCTCCCACTGCTCAGCCTGGGAGTCACTTAAGAGGAAGGAAAACAAAATCAGGAGAACAATCTAAGCAGCAAAAAGAACTATAAAATAAAGTTAGAGTAAACGCAACTTCAGTGGCTGTGGGCTCCTCCCCTCCAGAGCATGTGAGACATATTAATGTCGGCGAGTATTTTAAGGGAATGCTGAATCGAGAGGTAAAGTAACACATTTTAGGTACTGATTTCTCTCACCTGCTGCTATTCTATATTGTCCTTTGCTTTATAAAACACCAAGATTCTACCTGGTCATTCAAAATCTCAGTGGCTTATGGTCAAGAAATATATCATGACTTTTGTGGAATCTTTTTTTTTTTTTTGCCTGTTCCGATCCCCACTTCCCCACCTGTGCTTCATCTGCTGTGGGTCCCCCCACAAAGGGCTGGTCATGTCACATGATCAAAGCTAGCTGAGTGCCCCCATGCCCTACACTCAGGTTCAGGGATGGAAATGTGATGCCAACTAGATCACAGTGCAGTGTCTCTGAAATTTAGTCAGTAGGTATCTTAGTTTTCTAGGCTGCCATAAGCTATTACCACAAACTGGGTGGCTTAAAACAACAGGAATTTATTTTCTCATAGCTCTGGAGGCCAGAAATCCTATACCAAGGTGTCAGCAGGGCCACGCAGCCTCCGAAGTCTCTGGGGAAGAATTTCCAGGCCTCTCCTGGTTCCTGGTGGTGGCCGGCAATCCGTGGTGCCTCTTGGCTTGGAGCTCTGCCCTGGCCGTCGCACCACCTCCCCTCTGTGCGGTGTCTCCCAGGGAGTTCTCCTCTCCGTGCCTCTGGGCCTCTTCTTTCTTGTAAGGACACCAGTCTTAACCTCCATCCTAATTACATCTACAAAGACCCTATCTCCAAATAAGGTCACACTGACAAATATGAGCAAAAGGACTTCAGCACATCCTTTTGGGAAACACAATTCAACCAATAACACGAGATGAGGGTCTCTCTCACTTCGATTGCAAGCTCAAGGCCATGTGAGCCTGCCCCCCCACCTGAAAAGTGAGTAAACAGATCAGGAGATGAAGAGAGAAAGGCAGGGTCCTCACATTACTGGATTCCTGGGATGCCTCTGTCTCTAAAGCCAAGTCCACCTCTTGGACTTTAAACAACAAAATATCTTTTTTGTTTAAGTGTATTTAGTTTGGGTTTCTGCCCCTTACAACTACATCGATTCTAATTAATGTATGCCAATGAATAATCCTATGTAATATGAATTCAAATAGTTCCTTTTAATCTGGTAGGGAAGAAAGGGTGGGGTATGTATGAAAAAGATTAACCATGAGCTGAAAACTGTTGAAGTTAAGTGATGGGTACAACGAGCTCATTATTATACTATTTACTACTCTCTCTACTTTTACATATGTTTAAAATTTTCTAAAAATGAAACGTTAAATCAAGTGTTAAAAAAAAAGTTCCCCCAGGCCTCACACTTAAAGTCCAGCACAAATCAGGGAAAACAACACAAAAGGTTCTGTTTTCACATACGAACCAGACCAGACCAGGCACCCACGGGGAGTATCTGTAATATGTGAAAACATTAGCATATGTGATCACTGCAGTACACACAGGGCTTGTGAAACTAGACCTGAGCCTACAGAGGCCTCACAGGATCAGGGGGTCTTGGATGACAGTGGCTGGTAGATGACCTCCCCAAACTATGCAGAGAAGGTCCCTCCATGTGCCTCAACTCCAGGGAAAACAATGGCATGCACGGTGCTGATTCCACAGTGCCCATAGAGGAGTTCACTTCTCCTCCCGTTAATCACAACAAAGCATCTATTATCCACAGCTGGCCATAAGGCAAGGGTGTGGCTTTGAGAAAGACAGGATGACTTCTCCAGTTGTTCACTAACAAGTACTGCTATTCTGACACAGGCGTGTAGTTCGTGGCATATGAAACACCCACGTACCTTAATTTAGGCTAGAGTTGTCACCTCTTCTGGGATTAGAGGGTCTCCATTCCAGTTGCACATTAGAATCACTTGGGATCTTTTAAAAATCCTGATGCCCAGGCTGCAGGCCATACCAATTAGATCACAATCTCTGGGAGTGGGGCCCAGGCATCAGTGTTTCCAGAAGGCTCTGCAGTGATTCTAAAGAGCAGCCAGGGCTGAGAGCCACTGCCTCAGACAGACGAAGACCTGTGAGGTGGTCACTCCCTTTGGGTGCGGGCCTTGCTACTCTGGACCTCTCCTGCTCCTGGCTACGCCAACCCCACTTCCCAGCCTACTGTGTGAAATCACTTAAAATGATTTCAAAAGATTTTTAAATGATTTATTTTTTATAAAAATGACTTACTTTAAATGATTTATGGAATAGTTGCAAAGATACGACGGAGAGTTCCTGCATGCTCTTCTCCCAGCTTCCCCTAATGTTGACATCAGATAAAATCATGGTACATTTATAAAAGCTAAGAAATTAACATCACATACTTGAGCATATTTCACCAAGTATTCCACCAATGCCCTTTTTCTGTTCCCCAATCCAAATCAGGATACCACCTTGCATAATGCTTTTAAGAATGAAAAGGGTCTGCACCAAGTTCTAATCCACAATATCAAAAATTCACTTGGGCTTCCTTCCCTAGCTCACCCTCCAGTGTCTTACCCATCCTTGTGTTTGCAGCCAACTGGCTCTACATTTCATCTGTTCATCTCTCCTGTTTGAATCTGATACCCCAACTGTTTAGTCAAGTTGGTTCTTTAGAGTTTTAAGGTCATGGGACCACTTTGAGACTCCAACCGAAGCTACAGACTCTCCTCTGAGAAAAATGCACAAAAATAACTTTGCATCCAACTTTAGACCAGGTAAAAATCTCCCCTCGTCCTCCTCAAGGGCTCCCACCTGGGCACAGCCTTCCTTCGTTTGGCTTCCCAGGCAGTGAGTGTAACAAAGTCAGCACCAGTCACGACCAAGCCCTCGCCCAGATCCTGGACAGAGCAGAGGTGCGGTGTGCTCTGGGTTGTGGGTTGACACCTGCAGCCCCAGCCCCGGCCGTGGGCTGAGACCGGACAGAGCTCTTCAGAAGGACACCGAGGGCAGCTGAACTCTCCTTCTGGCCAACTGGGCTGTCAGTACTGGACCCCAGAAGTTCTGCTTGACCCATCACCACTTTGGAGCCCACTTTCTCTGTGTGTGTGAAGAAATACCTCAGAATTTAACCCTTCTCAGCCCAAAAGCCATGTTACCATCTGGGTTTCAACAAAGAGAAGTGACTCCAAAGCGGTACTGACAAGCTCTCCCAAACTGGATTTCTGTCGTTTGGAAACGGCAGGAACCTCGGTCCCAGGGACAGTGGCTGCCTCCACATCTCATGCCTGGCAACTGCGTGCAAGGGCTCCCACACACAAAAGCCAAACTGTCAGCCCGGGAACCCTACACGCTCTCGTAAGCCACCACACCAACCCCGGTGGTGGGACCCAAGGACAAGGGAGCCCTCCCCACTAACCCCGCACACCTTGAGTTTGAATCTCTTGCTCCAACCCGTTCCTCAAACGCTGCTCTGTCTCGCTCACATCCTGTCCCGCCCGTCATCCTCCAACGCCGCCTCATGCCTCTGAATGATGGTCCAGGTGCCGCCCGAGTTGTGCCACCTTTGGTGAAGAGCCCTGGAGGGCCCCCTAGCCCTGGGGCCACACTTTCTCTCCTACTGTCACTCTAGTCAGGACCAGACTATTCCTCCAGCATCAACCAGAAGACAACAGGGATGGAAACAGACAAAAATAATTCCTGTGGACAGAGCTGGGTCTGTTCTTACCTTCTGCAAAGGGTTCCCATTCATAAAAGCGGCCCATGAACGGCTTGTTGTTGTAGGACGCACACTGCACTTCCCGGATACTCCTGCTGCTTTCTGGACACACCTGAAAAAGCAGATACCACATATGTAATTGGTGTCCATAGCTTTTGGTAGCCCCCCTGAAATCCCAGGAGACCTCCCCACCTTTAAAGACCAGGCCTCCTCTGCTGAAACCAGGGTTTCTTCACCTTCATCAAAATTTAAAACACAGATGCAAAAGCTTCACACCAAGTTTGCTAAGTGGGAGTCTCTGGAACGACACTACAGTTTTAACAAGTACCCCAGGTTATGGTTTTCAAAACCACTAACCGGAACCTTCTGCTCCTGACAAATAGGTCTGCTCACCTTCCTCCAAGAGGCCATCCATGCCCATCTGTCTGACTGTGTGCATGGGGTACCATCACAGCCAACACGTACAGAGCTCTTGCTGCATGCAGGCCCTGCTTTAGACGTTTACACTTATTAACTCACTTAATCCTTACAACGACCAATGAGGTAAAGGTGATAGTTTTGCCGATTTGTAACAGATGAGCACACTGTGCCCATGGGGGAGCCACACAGGCAGTGAGAGCAGAGGCCGGATTGAATGCCAAGTGCTCTGGAGTCCAGCAATTGCACCTCGGTCCCTCCCCTTCTTGCCTAATTCTGTCCACATTCTCTCCACCATCTAATGCTCCCAGCCTTTTGCAGGCGAAAGAATCACCCAGAGATCTCATGGGAAATTCGAATTCCTGGATTCCTCCCCCAAGGATTATTATTAAGTCTGGGATGAGGTCCAGGAATCTGTATTTTATCAAAGTATTCAAGTGATTCTGATGTGCTAGACTACTCAAAAAAAAAAAAAATACCCAGCTCCCCCTGGTTTATATCATTCTTATTTATAAATGGCAAGTATGAGCAAAGTGTGATATAAAATAAATAAATGTGAAATAATAAGATTAGAATCTCAAATTCAAATAGTGGGTAAAGTACGACCTAGCTTTAAATTTAGCTAAAAGGATTATTATTAAGTCTGGGATGAGGTCCAGGAATCTGTATTTTATCAAAGTATTCAAGTGATTCTGATGTGCTAGACTACTCAAAAAAAAAAAAATACCCAGCTCCCCCTGGTTTATATCATTCTTATTTATAAATGGCAAGTATGAGCAAAGTGTGATATAAAATAAATAAATGTGAAATAATAAGATTAGAATCTCAAATTCAAATAGTGGGTAAAGTACGACCTAGCTTTAAATTTAGCTACAGTCTGTTTAAGTGTGGAGTGTGGGTGTATGTGTGTGTTTTAATAATCAGACGGGAAAGGAATCTGGGTCCTTAAATATTAAAATCTCTGTGTATAAGTCTCTGGAATGAACTGCTAATAAAATTGCTCAAAGTCCCGAAGAATTATAAAAGAAATCTACTGTAAGTATCAGAAACACCAGGTTTCTTGGAAGATGAAGGAACAGAGGAGGAATGAAGCCAGGTGGATGGAAGAACAGCTCCTGCTTGATAAAGGGCAGTGCAGGGAGGCTGCTGGCACGAACACTCAGACCCGTCACAGCCCTGCTACAGCCTGAGCCCAGCCGTGTGGCGCTGGAAGCCATGTGGAGTGGAATGTGATGTGCACGGCGGGGAAACCGGGCCGGGTGGATGAGCAGAGCGGCTGAGCTCCGACAGGCCGAGGGAGGCTGTCTGCCAGGGCCTGGAAGCCACGCTGCTGGCGGCCCTAAAGCCAGAACCTTGCGGGCTTCCAGCAACACCAGCCATCTCCATGAAGAATTGGGGTTAAGATGCTTTCTGCAACCTTTTGCCCAGAACCAGATTTTGACGAGGATGTGATCAGTTGGGTAACTTGGAAGAAGGCGCCATCCTTGCCACACTGAAGAATCACTAAGGGGTTTGTTAAAAATATAGATTCTTGGGCCTCCTCCCGGTGGGATGGTGGGGAAAGGGCCCAGGAATATATACTGAAGGATCTCTTGAGCGATCCTGGGGCCGCCAGCCTGGCACTGGACTGCAGCAGCCAGTTACAAGCCATGCCCAAGCATCGACCTCACTTCCCACCACTTGACATGCAGTCCCAGAACAGTGAGACTCAAATCCAACCTCTTTAATTTACATCTGAGGAAACGGAGGCCTGGAGAAGTGGCACACCCTCTCCCAAAGTCGCACAGTGACCAAGAGGCAAAGCCCGGGGTGCTGACCACCCGCTGTGGCCATGACCAGAAACTAGATTAAATCAGCTGCTGGGTGGCAGGTTTTCATGCCGCCAAAACAAGTGAGTTGACTGTCCTGTTGCTCAAATAACCACACGTACGTAAAGCCCAGTGAGGCTCCAGCCAGAAGCCACCCTTGGTCAGCCTGCTGGCAGTTACCATAATTGGACGCGGCGGACCACACTTAACCAGTCAGCTTATGGATGTTTTCTTGTCACAGATTCTTTTGGTTTACTGTTTTTCTAATTTTCTGCACTAAATATTTATGGAACAAAACTTTATCAGTAGTGAGCCCTTCCTAACACATTTGGCTCTTAGCCAGCTTTGCATGTGCTTGTAGTTTATATAATCTTACAGTGTGTTCTAATGCCTCACTAATGCCAGGTGCTCTTACTACATCCAAGTGCATCTGCCAAGCCACCCCAGTCACCTGTGACGGGTCATTCAGGATACCCTGTCCCTGGTCACCAAGTGCTTTGTATCTGAGCAGGGCCCAGTTACATCTGGGACAGGAGGGCTTAACGTGGCCTCAGACCTAAAACGGGAGGTCAAGCACTGAGGCAGCAGACCCACTACAGTTGCCAGGAGACTGCTGTGCCCAGCAGGCTGACGATGGTATCCAGTGAGTGACCAGCAGGGGAAGGTGCAGCAGGAGGTAACCAGAGGCCCTGGCTGATGGACGTGGCCTTGAGCGTGACCTCAGTGGAGACTTACACGATGCCAGGAGCGTTGCCAGTTAGAGGCAGGACAGTACTTCCTGGGGAGGAGAGGGACCTGGCTAGAGAAATGCAAGGTCCACCGGGCTCACATGTGGGCGTGGTTACGGAGACTGAATTAGGATAAAGGTGAGAAGGCAGAGCCTAGAGTGACAATGATGCAAGAGCAGCTTAGCTTTTATTGAGCACTAACTAAATACCAAATACTCCACCATGTGATTTATGTATATTAGCTCATTTAATCCTCACAGCAACTGTTAACGCCATTCTGTAGGTGGGGAAGCCACGGCACTGAGAAGTCAAATGAGCGGCCCAAGGTCACAGAGCTGGTAAGTATGAGGTCAGGGCTTGAACCAGACACTTTGGATCTAGAGCCCATACGAGGAGCCGCTGTGTCACGGCGCCCCTCAAGCTCATGCGGGTAGCAAAGTTAACTGTGAGGTGTTCTCAGTCAGGAGGACCTTAACTCCTTGCCTACTGTTAGGAGAGGTCCTAGGGGACAAGGTCAGATTCAGGCTCCGAGGCCTGGAGGAGCAGCCCCGGCCGCGGGGAGCAGGGGCAGGGGGCTGTCGATTGAGGGTGAAAAGCAAGCAGGGCTGGGAGATTCTGTTTCATGTCTCTTCTCTAGATTACATCTGTTTGTACTTGTCAGACTACTATCAGGATATGATCTCCTCTCATTTTAACAGACTTTCTGAAGTTAAAACTTCCAGGTTACAGATCACTTTACATTTGTTGTATTTTAAGTGGGCTGTTTCCTCATGCCGTGGACTGAGCCACCCTGACCTTATCAGTAATTGTCTATATTACACTGTGAGTCGGCTTTGGGCAGATTTCCTGCAGACAGCTGATCCTTTTCATGGGTACAGATTCTTGCCAGCTTTAGGGCAGAAAACAGATAGGGGGAAAAAGGCATTTAAATAGAGATCAGACTCACTCAGGATGGGGCTAGCAAAGACTGGAGCTCTGGAGCCATGTAACATCCCTGGCAGATAACCTCCTTTCAAATGACTCCCTTCCATCCAAAGGAGGGAGGGGTGTTTCCACTGATTACTTATGGGAAGTGGAATAAAGATGTACTTTAATATAATGAGCTGAATCTTTAAAAAGCACTTCAGGCCCTATCCAAAGTTCCATTTAGACGATTGCCTGGGGTTGCTATGAGTCACAGAGTATTAGGGAAACTTGGACTGTTTCCATGGACTCTGTTTAATCTGGGAAGACAACTGCTTGTACCTGACTTCATAGCTCAGGAGGCCACTGTGCAATGGCCACGCACTTACCTTTGGTAATTTAGTTCCAGCTCCCTAGAAGACTGGAGAACATCATCTCCAGGGAAGGCAGCACAAACGAACGTGACTGAAGCCTGCCTAGGTCAGACATGCATACTTTTACGCTTTGAATTGCTCTGGATTCAATCAGAAGACCAGCTACCATGGCAACATATGATGTATTTAATATCACTACAGTGAAGAATCTAAAAAAAGAAATCTAGAAAATGTCCCTGTACTGCCATAAGAGAGTGGCTCTCTGACCTTCAACAAAGCCCTCTGCTTTGAAGCCTAAATGACTATATTTCAATAACAAGCCCTGTACCACTCCCACCCCCAGGGATTTTTGTGAGGATTAAATTAGTAATACATTAGAGTTTCTGACTCATGGTAAATCTCAACAAATGTGAGCTGAATTGGAATCTAAGCAGACATCAAAGATGACCCCAGCAGTTCCAGAAGCTAAAGGGCTTGAAAGGTAGGTGTTCCGAGCAAATATTCCCCTCCTTTCTCTGTAGAAAAATACAACCAATGGGCCAAAATGTCTCATGAGTCATCCAGCACATTTTTCAAATATGTTTAATATCTACTTTCTCAAGTCACCTGGAACAAATCCAACCTCGAAAAAACCTGTTTGCCACCTCCCACTACTTTTAGCTCCTCTAGACCGTCGGTGAGTTGGTGCCCCCAAAAGAGTAGGGTCAAGGTTCAGATTAGATGAGAACAACAAAAATAAAACCAAACCAAACCTGAGGTTTTCTTAGTTCTCACTTTCTTTCCCTTACAAGTTCATGACGTCCTAGAGGAAGGTGTTTCCCTCTTGTTCAACACAAACATCAAAGACCCAAAGGACGTTAAAATGACCATCCCATATTTTTA